ATAGTCCAACTATTTACTAGCAAATGTTTGTACCTGTTTTAAAGTGTATTTCTTCTTTCTGAATTTGGACTATTATTACTTACTCCAGCAAATCAAAATCTTGTAACTGCTTTGTTTATATTACAATGGGTTTTGTGGGTAGATGTTACAGAAACTCAAGTAAATGGACAATATATTATAAAGTCATTCTTTAGTTTTATACATTTTAATAATTTTATACAACAAGAGTATACAATATCCAAAAAAATAATTTCAACTTTAAATGGAAACATTTCAAAAGTGTTTCTTGAAAAAATATAAGAAAATTTCTAACTATGTTAACAAACTCCATACCAAGTCTCTCATGGCAAACTTCAAGAATTCAGTTGAAATGCTGACATGTTATTATACATCATAAAAAAATATTCTGTTATAACCTGTTTGATGTAGTTAGAATCATGGTACTTCCCGCTGTGTCTGTATGCCCATTCAGAGCTTAGGTAGTGGGGGAGGCCGTGCCATAGCTCAAGCAGTTAGTCGCTGGTTTCCCATTGCGGCAGACCGGGTTCGATCCCGGGTCTGGTCAAGTGGGATTTGTGGTGGACAACAAAGTGGCGCTGGGGCAGGTTTTCTCCGAGTACTTCGGCTTCCCCTGCCAATCTTCATTCCACCAATTGCTCCACAATCACCCTCACCTATCATCTGGGGCTGGTACAATAGGCCAGAAGTGGTCACAGTACAAGGGACTTAGTCCCACCCCACTAGCAATAAAAAAAAATAGGTGGTGGGGGATGACAACCACCCAGTCTGCAACTTCCTTTGTTTGTGTAAACATCAAATACATATCTGCTTTTGGGAAAATACTACTCGTAATTTCTTTTTATTCATGTTGATTATGGTTATTGTGGAGGCTAGTCCAAGTGGAAGAAAAAAAAAGGGACAAATAAATTGTTACATAGAGAGAGCAAGCAAACTGTCTACAGTGTGTCTATTTACTGCATAACTTTAGGAGAGTAACGCAGGAGTATAACAAGACATGCGCCTCCTACAACCCCATTATCCACATTTTATCCCTCTGACATAGGTGAAAATGTCCTGGCTATATCAAACAAGTTATAGCATCTGCTGTACATTTTTCCAAAGATGTGCCTCTACAAGAAATTTTTAAAAGCTTCACAGAGAAATTCAAACAGCCACCATGTTGGTATAATTGATACGGCTGAACAGCTGATCCTTACACCTGCTTAGAATACTGACACAGCAATAATGGATGACTTGCATTCACAAGGCACCTGGTCAAATATCAGCCAGATCACAAGCTAACATGAGCTTTTCATGGATTTCCTCAACAATTCCAGCCAGATGCTAGGGCAGTATCTTGAAAAGAGCCAGAAGTGCCTTATTCACGTTTCTTTCTAAAAATGTTCATAATATCTTATTCAGGACTAACAACATCCACTATTATTAGAGAATTATAAAATAATAGATAAGGTGAACAAAGAAAATTCATTCTTACATTTGTCCTTGTTCATTTTCTGTGAGCCCATGTGATGCATGAAGGTGGGATAGGCTTACCATGCCATTATCATGGCCACGTAGTCTTGTAAAGCCCTTTATTCCATCATCCCAGATAAATTTGAGCAGGTGATGGTGGAAATAACGTATCTGTCTCACTTGTCCCGATCCAGGCCAACTGCATACTGATGTAAATATTTTCTCTACAGAATACTGCCCATGAGAATCCTGGAAGATCATTTTTAATGGCTAACATACAAGAACTATAATAATGTTTACAAATATCTAATTATAACAGTAAAATCCAAAGGTTCAATACCGCTAAAAGCCCATAAGATCCTTCCACATCCCATCCTCTTTTATTTCTCTAAAATCCATGTTAATACATTACCCTCCCATTTTCTTCTTTATGTTCCAACTGGCAACTTTCCAACAGTTTCCCCCACCACAATTATGTGTGCATTCACTCCTATTCGGTCCACTCTTCATTTCCCATCCATCATGTAAAAAAGTAAATGTATCCCTGTAACAGGCCGTGGAGACCCATAGGGTTATGAGATGTTGAGGCTCCCACATTTTCTAGACAATCGGCTCATAGATGGCGCCAAGGTTGTCAGCCCTATGCACTGGCCGCCCTTTACTCACAAGAATATTCCAAGAATATTCCTGGTACTCATTTCTGTTAGAGGCTGAGTCAACTCCAGGGCCATAGTGTGGCCGGAACGATTAGGGCAATTGAAAAAAATCCAATTACCTCATCAGGACTTGAACCCGCGAACTTCCAGCTTATAGTGCCTCAACCAACTACACTACCGCGTGCCCCCTCGTCCATCATATACTCAGGTCCAAATACAGTGTCCTTCTGAACCCTTTCTTTTCAAGCACTTCTAATTTATGTTCTTCTCTGAGAGCACAAAACCACAGTTCGCATCCACGAGATGATATCTACTGACTGTTGTTCCTAAACACTTAAATTAATACAATTGTAATAATTAAACATTAACTAAATTACCTGGATTAGTAATATTTGCGCCTCTTCCAATGAACATTTCGAATATTTTGTGTAAGTTGCATACTGGCAGTACCAGTGCAGAAACATATATGGTATGCCAGCAAAGAGGACTGCAAACAGATGGAATATGAACCCTTTACAGCAGTTCTTCTTGTACCCATAACATGTTAGTCTTTCTTCACATGCAATTTCTTGGCAGTTTTCTTCCCCAATGACCACATAACCATGGTGTTGGCTGCAACCAGCTAATTTACGTAACATTCTTTCTATAAATGACATTTACCACTGAATATCTTCCAGTGTTCTGTGGTCTCTAACCTATAAATTGTAAACCTACATAATGTAATTAAAACAAACTGAATATACTGATTCGGTTTAATACTGAGTGCATTCTGTTACTGTCATCTTGCCTTCATTCCTTATTCTTCTTGAGCTTTCATGTAGTTTACTGCATGGGCTAATACGCCCTGTAAACAAGCAAACAAGAACATATTAACACATCTGTACCTTCAGCACACGTCATTACATTAATGTGCTACAGTTCAGCATTCCAGTACCTCATCCTCACAAATACACTACTACCCCTCCACTATATTCCTTTTGGTATCATATGTTGACATACGCCAACGTCAGCTGACTTCCATTATCTCAATGATCTCAATGACCTCCATCATCCCAATAGCAGCATCGTTTACAAAGCCAAGTGCTGTCCTTATCGGTCATTACCACGGATCACTTAATGATCCCTACATAATCTCCAAGCGAATTGCCCATATTCGCAATCATGAACGGGGATATCAAATTGGACATTTATCAGTAATCCGAGAGAACGTTTACTATCAATCATCATAATCATCAGCATCATCAGTGAGGATCAGTGAGTGAGTCATCAGGCGAGGTCATACAAAGAAGACAGAGAGAGTATGAGTTTACTTGCGAAGGTTGATGTTTTTTTAACGGTGGGACGAATGAGTGCTACATGCCTTTATCAGGATCATAAGGGGTACATTATAAGTTTTACTAACGTGGAAATAAGCATCATCTGGTGCAATCGAAACCAACATAAGATACCTAAATCACTGATGCACATATCCGCATGCAAACCTCCGGACTCGGAAGGTTCGTACACCAGCCTTGCGCCGTACTTCCTGGTGCGGCCTGCGAATAAATTCCGCTAAATACAAATGTTGACTTTAAATTAATATCCCCAGTGCATCACACCATTCAAATTTACATATAAACGCATGGTACGGAGCACGTTGTGACTGTAACTAGGACGATCTCCACACCCGCATGAGAATGTATTCTCGACCGGATTTATGGAAGGTGAATAAATGAAATGAAATAAAATAAAATAGATATATTTTGCTAGTAGGCGCTTACGACATATTATTGCAAGAAAAACGCGTCTGCCAGCAATGCCTTTTTAACATCTGAATAAAATAATTCTCCCTAATTTGCTGCGTGTAAACTTTCACCCCAGGACCTAAAATAATATTACATCTATCAGAATTTAAATTTTGAAGTCGTGGTTTGTTACAGACTGTCTGACGATATACTTAAGAAACCTTGTGGGAATGAATTTTGGCCTCTAGCATTAAGAAATAGTCCTCAAAGTCACACTGAAGATTTCAAATCCCAGCACGACTATACATGCCGTCCAGTAACAGTAATAATGATCATGATCTTAACAACCATAAACAACGGTTGTATTGGTGGCAGTAAGAAAGGAGTTAAATTTACACTTTCATCTGAAGGTAGGATGATTGTATATTATACTTGGGAGTACTAATCTAATCTAATTTCTGTATTATATTTTCCCTCAAATTTAGTTATGTAAGCATTACCATATTTTGCATTAAGATTTCTATACCCAATAATAATATTAGTGCCACATGCTTTGACTAACGGCTTCAGGTACATTTCAGAGCATAAATTGTACTTCCCCGATGCAGAAATTTTAACTCCAAATGAACCTACTAAAACTTTCAGGTATGAAATTTTAAGCAGGTGTCAGATCCATAAAAAATTCCCAGTGCTTAAATAGGCCTTCAGTTTGCTGAATGTGTTGATGGAGCACATTTTAAACATGTTATAAGCAAGTATATTAGATTTATTCCATGAACAGCACATATATTCATATGGTACACCTACTTCTGGCTAAAAGTGTTAGTTTAATTGAACATTGAGACATGTAAATTACACTGGTCTCTCTTTAAATTTTTGAAAAAAAAAAAACTCTCTTTTTGTTTTCTTTATTACTACAAATCACTTTACAGAAAACAGATATGCATACAAAAGTCATTGTACCAAACTGGATTCACATAATGTACAGTTCACATTACAATTACTACAACTCAGTTTATCATCAATATTCATTAAGCAAAGATATAAAAAAACAATATCACAGAAATAAAGATCCTAATTATTGATATACATACTACAATATTCAAGGCCATTCCCAGGGGTCTGCAGAACTATCTACAGTGATCCTTCCCAGTACTTCAGCACTTGAATGAACAGTTCTACCTCCTGGGATATAACTCTTCAAACCCACTACTGTGGAAACCTCACATCCCACTTAAAAGACTTGTTTTCTGTTGCATATATATAATATTTCTGATGATGGCTGACATGATGTTCAATCTAACATTCTGGCAATGAAGTATTTCTTTAATGTAGATCTAACCAATTTTGGTACTACATTAAGTAAACACTTTCACTACCATAATATACAGAGTCACCCGAAGTGAGACCTGTAGTAGTATTCCAATTCCTTGGCCCCAAGGGATGGCCCTGATAGTATATTATTCATAAAAAATCTCTGTATAGTCATATATTGAAGTCTTATATGGTATAAAATAAATGAACCTTCCTTTCAACTGTCCCATGTTGTGAATGTGGTCAACCAACTATTCTCAGATTTGGCTGTACAACAGTGGTTCCCAACTTTTTCTTGCAGAGATCCAGAACCTGCCATTACAGCATGACTTCCAACCATCAGACATTAAATTTTATGTGCTTTTCAGCATTCAGTAAGAATTCCTCTGTTGACTCTCACAAACCTACTGATTTTATCCTTTTCTTACTTTCATATTACAGCATTTTCTCCATTGTATACATTATATGGGAAGATTATTGTGAANAGGTTGTCAGCCCTATGCACTGGCCGCCCTTTACTCCCAAGAATATTCCAAGAATATTCCTGGTACTTATTTCTGTTAGAGGCTAAGTCAACTCCAGGGCCATAGTGTGGCTGGAACGATTAGGGCAATTGAAAAAAATCCAATTACCTCATCAGGACTTGAACCCGCGAACTTCCAGCTTATAGTGCCTCAACCAACTACACTACCGCGTTCCCCCTCGTCCATCATATACTCAGGTCCAAATACAGTGTCCTTCTGAACCCTTTCTTTTCAAGCACTTCTAATTTATGTTCTTCTCTGAGAGCACAGAACCACAGTTCGCATCCACGAGATGATATCTACTGACTGTTGTTCCTAAACACTTAAATTAGTACAATTGTAATAATTAAACATTAAATAAATTACCTGGATTAGTAATATTTGCGCCTCTTCCAATGAACATTTCGAATATTTTGTGTAAGTTGCATACTGGCAGTACCAGTGCAGAAACATATATGGTATGCCAGCAAAGAGGACTGCAAACAGATGGAATATGAACCCTTTACAGCAGTTCTTCTTGTACCCATAACATGTTAGTCTTTCTTCACATGCAATTTCTTGGCAGTTTTCTTCCCCAATGACCACATAACCATGGTGTTGGCTGCAACCACCTAATTTACGTAACATTCTTCCTATAAATGACATTTTCCACTGAATATCTTCCAGTGTTCTGTGGTCTCTAACCTATAAATTGTAAACCTACATAATGTAATTAAAACAAACTGAATATACTGATTCGGTTTAATACTGAGTGCATTCTGTTACTGTCATCTTGCCTTCATTCCTTATTCTTCTTAAGCTTTCATGTAGTTTACTGCATGGGCTAATACGCCCTGTAAACAAGCAAACAAGAACATATTAACACATCTGTACCTTCAGCACACGTCATTACATTAATGTGCTACAGTTCAGCATTCCAGTACCTCATCCTCACAAATACACTACTACCCCTCCACTATATTCCTTTTGGTATCATATGTTGACATACGCCAACGTCAGCTGACTTCCATTATCTCAATGATCTCAATGACCTCCATCATCCCAATAGCAGCATCGTTTACAAAGCCAAGTGCTGTCCTTATCGGTCATTACCACGGATCACTTAATGATCCCTACATAATCTCCAAGCGAATTGCCCATATTCGCAATCATGAACGGGGATATCAAATTGGACATTTATCAGTAATCCGAGAGAACGTTTACTATCAATCATCATAATCATCAGCATCATCAGTGAGGATCAGTGAGTGAGTCATCAGGCGAGGTCATACAAAGAAGACAGAGAGAGTATGAGTTTACTTGCGAAGGTTGATGTTTTTTTAACGGTGGGACGAATGAGTGCTACATGCCTTTATCAGGATCATAAGGGGTACATTATAAGTTTTACTAACGTGGAAATAAGCATCATCTGGTGCAATCGAAACCAACATAAGATACCTAAATCACTGATGCACATATCCGGATGCAAACCTCCGGACTCGGAAGGTTCGTACACCAGCCTTGCGCCGTACTTCCTGGTGCGGCCTGCGAATAAATTCCGCTAAATACAAATGTTGACTTTAAATTAATATCCCCAGTGCATCACACCATTCAAATTTACATATAAACGCATGGTACGGAGCACGTTGTGACTGTAACTAGGACGATCTCCACACCCGCATGAGAATGTATTCTCGATCGGATTTATGGAAGGTGAATAAATGAAATAAAATAAAATGGAAATATTTTGCTAGTAGGCGCTTACGACATATTATTGCAAGAAAAACGCGTCTGCCAGCAATGCCTTTTTAACATCTGAATAAAATAATTCTCCCTAATTTGCTGCGTGTAAACTTTCACCCCAGGACCTAAAATAATATTACATCTATCAGAATTTAAATTTTGAAGTCGTGGTTTGTTACAGACTGTCTGACGATATACTTAAGAAACCTTGTGGGAATGAATTTTGGCCTCTAGCATTAAGAAATAGTCCTCAAAGTCACACTGAAGATTTCAAATCCCAGCACAACTATACATGCCGTCCAGTAACAGTAATAATGATCATGATCTTAACAACCATAAACAACGGTTGTATTGGTGGCAGTAATAATGGAGTTAAATTTACACTTTCATCTGAAGGTAGGATGATTGTATATTATACTTGGGAGTACTAATCTAATCTAATTTCTGTATTATATTTTCCCTCAAATTTAGTTATGTAAGCATTACCATATTTTGCATTAAGATTTCTATACCCAATAATAATATTAGTGCCACATGCTTTGACTAACGGCTTCAGGTACATTTCAGAGCGGAAATTTTAACTCCAAATGAACCTACTAAAACTTTCAGGTATGAAATTTTAAGCAGGTGTCAGATCCATAAAAAATTCCCAGTGCTTAAATAGGCCTTCAGTTTGCTGAATGTGTTGATGGAGCACATTTTAAACATGTTATAAGCAAGTATATTAGATTTATTCCATGAACAGCACATATATTCATATGGTACACCTACTTCTGGCTAAAAGTGTTAGTTTAATTGAACACTGAGACATGTAAATTAAACTGGTCTCTCTTTAAATTTTTGGAAAAAAAAAACTCTTTTTGTTTTCTTTATTACTACAAATCACTTTACAGAAAACAGATATGCATACAAAAGTCATTGTACCAAACTGGATTCACATAATGTACAGTTCACATTACAATTACTACAACTCAGTTTATCATCAATATTCATTAAGCAAAGATATAAAAAAACAATATCACAGAAATAAAGATCCTAATTATTGATATACATACTACAATATTCAAGGCCATTCCCAGGGGTCTGCAGAACTATCTACAGTGATCCTTCCCAGTACTTCAGCACTTGAATGAACAGTTCTACCTCCTGGGATATAACTCTTCAAAACCACTACTGTGGAAACCTCACATCCCACTTAAAAGACTTGTTTTCTGTTGCATATATATAATATTTCTGATGATGGCTGACATGATGTTCAATCTAACATTCTGGCAATGAAGTATTTCTCTAATGTAGATCTAACCAATTTTGGTACTACATTAAATAAACACTTTCATTACCATAATATACAGAGTCACCTGAAGTGAGACCTGTGGTAGTAATTCCAATTCCTTAGCCCCAAGGGACGGCCCTGATAGTATATTATTCATAAAAAATCTCTGTATAGTCATATATTGAAGTCTTATATGGTATAAAATAAATGAACCTTCCTTTCAACTGTCCCATGTTGTGAATGTGGTCAACCAACTATTCTCAGATTTGGCTGTACAACAGTGGTTCCCAACTTTTTCTTGCAGAGATCCAGAACCTGCCATTACAGCATGACTTCCAACCATCAGACATTAAATTTTATGTGCTTTTCAGCATTCAGTAAGAATTCCTCTGTTGACTCTCACAAACCTACTGATTTTATCCTTTTCTTACTTTCATATTACAGCATTTTCTCCATTGTATACATTATATGGGAAGATTATTGTGAATAATGAAATGGGAAAGATGTGTGAGGAACTGGTTGAAGTTTATTTTAACATTCTCCTGATCTAAATGCTCCAAAACACTCTCTCAAATGGTAGGTCCTGTGATTTGCTATGGTTTATGTCTCTCAAAATGGACTCTGACCTTAGAGTGAAGATATCCACTTTTATATTGCAGCATGCAGTAGGCAGCTTTACCATTTTGCCTTCAATGATAGGATGATGGCAAGCAGATGTGACCTACAGCTTAACTTTGTGATCTGTTCACAGCAGAAGCCTAGTATACCTCACATATTGAAAAGTCTCACTTTGTCAGAGCTCAGGGCATGCCAATTGGTCAGTTCCACACTTAGCATTCACGTTTTCTTCCTATCTCCTGGTGACATTGCCTGAGTTCCCAGATTCCTTTATGCTTGAACAGACCATGTAATGTAGTGGGCAGAGTTACTTTCATATGTAAAAAATAGTAAAGCTATCCCTGTAACAGGCCGTGAAGGCCCATAGGGTTGTGAGACGTTAAGTGTCCCACATTACCTTGACATTCGGCTCAAAGATGGCGGTAAGGTTGTCAGCCTTACGCGCCGGCCGCACTTCACTCCCCAGGAAAATTGTTTAATTAATTCCTGGTACTCATTTCTGTTAGAGGCTGAGTAAACCCCAGGGCCTAGTGCAGCCAGAAGGATTAGATCAATTGAAAAAAATCCAATGACCTCATCGGGACTTGAACCCGCGACCTTCCGGCTTGTAGCATAGTGCCTCAACCACTAAGCTACCGCATACCCCATTACTTTCATATATCAACTTCAATTTAAAAGTTGTCAGAACCCACTGGTACATCAGCTGGTTTGTTTACTCAAAACACCTGTATCAAATGAATGTGCAGGTTTCAAAGCGATCACAGAACTTCAATTTATATGTACTACACTAGCTGTCTAGTAAGCAAGCCACTTTAACGTTCATCCAGCAACATTTCACGCCCATCATTGTAGCTAATGTCATCCAAACAGGAGGGCATCCTATTATTGTCAAAGTATTGCAGTGGGTTAACATGAAGTAATCCAAGTAACTATTATTTTGTGAAATATCAATTTATTCTTATTTATTAGCCTAATTTCCCTGTTTTGAAAAAATGAAACTAGGCTTGCATTTGTAGATAAAGGAAATGAAGCATTTGGTAAAATCTGCAGGAGAAACAACAGTATTTGAAGGAAATCTGCCCAGTGTTGCTGTGTAAAATACTAAGGTAAAATCTAGGGCTAGTGTCTGAGTACGACCAGAATATAGTTTAGGTACTGTGGGAACTGCCCACATTCAAGCAAGTGTGACAACGCGAGCTTCACTGCTTAGCAACGACGAGTAAACAGCGGTTGCTAGGCAAAGCCTACAACAATACGGGCAGTGACATTTCAGACGGCGAGTGCAGAGCAGGTGTCTTGCGGCGGGATCACGAGAAGGCATTGGCATAGATGTGACAGTGAGTGACTGCCCAATAGGTGTGACATTGCAGACAGCGAGTGCAGAGCAGGTGTCTTGCGGCGGAATCACGAGAAGGCATTGGCATAGATGTAACAGTGAGTGACTGCCCAATAGGTGTGACATTGAAGACAGCGAGTGCAGAACAGGTGTCTAGTGGCAGAATCATGAGAAGGCATTGGCATAGATGTGACAGTGAGTGACTGCCCAATAGGTGACATTGCAGACAGCGAGTGCAGAGCAGGTGTCTTGTGGTAGGATCATGAGAAGGCATTGGCATAGATGTGACAGTGAGTGACTGCTCAACAGGTGTGACATTGCAGACGGCGAGTGCAGAGCAGGTGTCTTGCGGCGGAATCATGAGAAGGCATTGGCATAGATGTGACAGTGAGTGACTGCCCAATAGGTGTGACATTGCAGACAGCGAGTGCAGAGCAGGTGTCTTGCGGCGGAATCACGAGAAGGCATTGGCATAGATGTAACAGTGAGTGACTGCCCAATAGGTGTGACATTGAAGACAGCGAGTGCAGAACAGGTGTCTAGTGGCAGAATCATGAGAAGGCATTGGCATAAATGTGACAGTGAGTGACTGCCCAATAGGTGTGACATTGCAGACAGCGAGTGCAGAGCAGGTGTCTTGCGGCGGGATCACGAGAAGGCATTGGCATAAATGTGACAGTGAGTGACTGCCCAATAGGTGTGACATTGCAGACGGTGAGTGCAGAACAGGTGTCTAGTGGCAGAATCACGAGAAGGCATTGAAATAGAAGAAACATTGGCAGGATTACAGAAAAATACAGGTACTGCAAAATGTTAAAAAGGAAATATACCACAAAGGACCTGCCTGAAACACAGTGCAATTCCTTGACATAACAAGGGATGTGGAATTTCCCGTCAAAGAAACGTGTTCCTGCAATTATATTGGAAAGGAAAAAAGAAATGGATTGTCATGGATGAATGGATGGATGAAGTCATCCAAGAATTTTTAAAGAAAGATACCTGTTACATACTTGCTGACAGGTACCTCCTGGCTATGATATTCACATATTTTAAAAGAGCAGGGTACACAACACAGGACTTCACACGCTACAGTTTCTTTGTTGCGCTATTCCTAGCTCTAGACATTGAAGAGGACTATAATTTCAAGAATGAGCTGTACAGCTGGGCCTTAGGGTACCACTGGAGGCAGCGCTATAAGGAGATGCAGAAGAGCAGAAATGCACTGTGGAAGGCGATGGACATGGTGGGATTGTCAGTAGAGCCCAGTGTGAAAAGTGATATCGCTGCAGCCACACCATTATATATGGAGGAGAATCTGAAGCACACTACATGCTGGAGCAATGCGCCCATACCAGTTCATTCGTTGCAACCACTTCCATTGAAAACTGCCCTATAGTATTTATTACAGTTGCACAGTATACACGAACGAACTTGAGTTTGAAAAATTGAAAAATAATATTAATAGTGAAATAGGCCTTGAACACTGAACTAGAATTATAGAACTGTAGAAATCTAGAACTGTAACTGTAACTTCCACTCAATGTATCTTCTTATGTAACCTAGAGTCGGACATATAGAAAACATGTCACTGTCCGTATTGTTGCAGGCTTTGCCTAGCAACCACTGTTTACTCATCATTGCTAAGCAATGAAGCACGCGTTGTCACACTTGCTTGAATGTGGGCAGTTCCCACAGTACTATCCCAGCATTTATCTCGAGGAATTATGGAAAATAATGCACATCAGGGTATATGGCCTACATGCCCAGAACACAAACAAAGACTGCTAACTACTAACTGATGCAACCAAAAACTGGAAACCACTGATGTTCTGCTACTTTTGGCCATGTACTGTGACTACAGGATCCTAATTTAAAGAAAAGCCTCTCTTCATCTTAAAAACTATCACTATCAAATTGAGCACATAAAATTGACTAAGAGTTACACATTTACAAAAAAAAAAGAATGTTGTCATAACAATGCCAACAAACAAAGCAATTAAGTACCATGACTTATTCTTCCCCCAGCCATAATCAGTGTAAGTAAATCACCAAATACATAACATATCATGAAGCTATTACCATCATTCATTTTACAGTCATGCACCATATGTATATCACATATTCATTCTTAATAGTAGAGAAATGGTCACATTTTGTGCAATATACATAGACTTACTATACTATAACAAGTAATTGAATATATTATCAGATTTGTCACTGAAACTATAACATAGTATTAGGAATATGCATTTCCTATATAAATATTTCAGGGGATTCATAATTCAGTAACACACACATTTCTCAAAATGGTTCATTGTGCCATATTTACTGTCTACTTCATGGGAAATGCAGCTGCTGCTGTGTAGAGTTTTTAATAACTGGAGACAGAAAGAGCAGGATATATGACAAACCCTGAAGGTCAGTAATGATTAGATCATAGGTTACTTAATGATTATGTATCAACTGTAGAGGTTATGTAGCATTACATGAGATGATTATGATTATGTGCAGTGGAATATAAATGACAGGTGAAGTAGTAATCATGATCATCTTCAAGATATTATTCTGGCATTTGCCTGTAAGGATTGAGTAGCACTACAAAACTTCTCAAACAGGACAGATGGTGCACCAGCCAAGGTTTGAACCAGGTACCTTTGAAATACCGTGCTGGCAAAAACGGATAAATTTGAAGGCCATTTAGAAATATATAGCCACAACTGGTTGGACCATGTGAAGCAAATGAAGGGATGCAAATTACTCAAAATGACAATGCAATTAAGATATGAAGAACATGGTGGACAGACCATACGACAGTAGATGTTGAAATGAAAGACATGATATGGACTAGACATTATGGGAGAACAGAGACAAAGGAAAGTTTTATCTTCCATTTGACACTCATTAAACAACACAAAGTATAAAGTGAGCACCATACCAGCTGCCTACATAAAAAGTTGGCACAATAGTAACATAACTTGCTCTCAGGACATACCTGATTCAATTCCTGAGCTAGAAACCAGCTATCTTGATTGGAATGATTTTTTTATTTTCCTCAGTCCTTCAAAACAAATGCTATGATAATACAAAAGGGCCCAAAAATGTACAGACACACTAACAGTCGTTATCTATGGACATTTTCAAAGTTGAACCAAAATGTAACATATGGTGTGTACACGTAGTGTGATATTCTCTCAAAAGATGGTACTAGTCACATGAATGGCAGGACAGTCAAAGTAAATGGAGGCAGAATGGTTGTCATTTGAGCAACACAAGATAATTTTGAAGTGGTACTGGAAATTTGAAAACATGTGAAGTACAAATACTTAATCATGTTGGAGGTTCCATTGCAAATTCATGCCACCACTGTCTTTGTACTTCACACAAATTTTCACATTTCCAGTACCACTTAAAAATTATCTTGCATTGCTTGAAGGACAACCATTCTGCCACCATTTTCTTTGACTGTCCTGCCATTTGATAAGGTGGCTCTGGCATTCATGAGACAAGCACCATCTTTTGAGAGAATATCACACTACATACCATACATTGCATTTTGGTTCAACTTTGAAAGTGTCCATAGATAATATTATTAAAGTGTGTATATATTTTTTGGCCCCTCTGTATACTAAAAGAGACCATGACTGCTTTGTCCCACATCTCTCCCAGTTTATCGTTATAATCACACTTCCTTATCTCTTTCAGAACCTCGGCAGTGTTGTGAAAAAATAAGATAACCAAAATAAACTGAGATAATAAAACAATTTTATAATATAAGATAACAATATTGGAACTGGATATATTTTTACTACTATTATTTTAGACACAAATGAAATCTTCTCTTTGTATGAACAGAAAATATTGAAAAGAGAATTCTCTTGCACAAAATCATCTTAATCACTTAAAATCAACAAGACCTTTCCTTGGGTAATGACTAAATGCCAACATAATAATTTAGCACTAATTCTTTCTGCAAAAACTACTAAGTATCTAATGTTAAAATATGTCTCGCTTCTAAACACAACTTGTGTGAAAAGAATTGAGAGACCACATGGACCCCATTAAACATTCAACAGAAAATGACACATTTTTTGTGTTATCAGTTATATCACATGGAGTAAATCTCCAGCATATTGGACATTATCTATGCCTCAGTTATCACTGGCCTAATGTGGAGGTTTATCCAGCTGTTTGCTCTATGTAGATATACTGATAATACATGGAGGCAGTGGCAGTCTCTGAAACATATGAAATTAACTCCCTACAGACATGGTTCACTGCCCAATAAAAGACTTCATTTCATTTCGTTGCTGTGAAAGCCTAAAACCATACATTAAACAGATAAACATGTACTTTATTCATCTCTTCTATCTAAATGTCTACAGTTCATTTCATGAAGATACAATATAAATACTATATGATTCCACTGCAATTAGAGAAATGACTTTGATTAACTGCAGCTATGACCTCAATACTTTTAGGATTACACATTTCCTTATGATAACCAGAGTACAGGGAAAAGTGACTTCATCATCAAAGACTTTCTTCCTCCAAGAGTAAGATAAGGAGCAGGAAAACCTCTTATCTAAGGTGTGTACATGAGTATGCATGTGCATCATTCACATTTTCAGCAAACATTATGCAGGACTACTAAAAGTGGAACAGAAAGAAGGTGATACACCAGTATAAACAATCTACTTTCTTCGCAGCATATTTTCCTTATTTTATGTCTTATCTTTCTGCACACCCTCAATAATTTTAATCACCTGATGGACTTTAATTAAATATGGTATCAACACCATTCCACTATAGGCCACCAGACACTGAGACATTTTACATTTATACTATCAATAATATCAATAAACAACTGTATAAACTTACAAGAGGGAAACAAATGGCATTTAATCTAGGATCTTGAAACTGTTGTAACAGACCATCAAAAATATACGGCATTTATTATGGTAATTTACTTCTAGAATGTAAAACAGAAACATGGCAGTGAAATGACATCTGTACCTATAAATTCTGAACGAAACATTAAAAACACAGCAAGAGTGCAAAACTGCAGGGTTATATCTGCACTAATTTACAAAAATTAACCATAGAAATGATAAATAAACTGTCTAATTACATTAAGTTATATTTCTTAAAAACCTCACCATTATAGAATGAAGCTTTTCAAGTAAAGCAGACATAAAATATATTCAGAACTTCTTTTATTAAATGACTCTTCCAATAACAAGACAGTTTAATGAATTATTGACAATGATAAATTTTGATTGAAATTATCCTTTCAATGGTGAACATCTTTAATTAGAAACACATCATTTATTTTATACTTTCACAGTAACTTACTCTACCTTGCAGGATGCTGCAGACAGCTTAACTGTCAAGAAGTGACAGTAAGGTTTCCTTTCATTAAAAATACCTCACCTCAAAGACACACAAGGAAGGACCAGTTTAAAATGACATCTAATTAGTAGCATGGAAAGAGTTAATACTGCAATTCTGAGATAAAATACAAATCTAATTAGACAGTACTGACCAGTCATGGTTACCACTCTATGTAAAGGCCAAAATTTACTTATAATCTACTCAGTATCTAACAAATTTAAAGATGTTTCATATATAATCTACAGAAAGTCAGTAAATAAACTCTTTTCATTATACTGTGGCATGTCTACTGAAAGCCAGAATAGTTTAATCAGCAAGGCAATAGCTTGGTAAACACATTGTCTCTGCAACAGCAGTGACATCTCTCACTAATAGAAAGCACAGGAATGGACCACATGATATGTCACCCACATCAACAGAGGAACAGTGTTTTCTGTTGGGGTCCGTGCAGAGGCTATACTTGGAGAATCAACACACAGGCCACTCAATCCAAGTCAAGAGTCTAGAGAGTGTCTGCAGCCAGATAGACC